TCTGGTCTGTCTGGTCTGTCTGGTCTGTCTGGTCTGTCTGGTCTGTCTGGTCTGTCTGGTCTGTCTGTCTGTCTGTCTGTCTGTCCGTCTGTCTGTCTGTCTGTCTGTCTGTGTCTGTCTGTCTGCCTGTGATAATGCGCTTGCAGCTTGCAGATGTGAAAGCACGCGCGCAGTGCCTGCAGGCCGCCCGCGGCTTCTCACTGCAGAACGGTGGCAACCCCCCCTGTTGATTGTCATGCAGATCTGTGGTTCAAGACGAGGGAAGGGCTTTTGGGCAACCCGTCACGACCGGCCGGCGACAGCTCGGCATCACGATACTCCGGGAGGTTCGACTTTGTCACTCCGTGTATTGCGTTGTTATTGCGACTTCGTTGATGCAGGATGTGGACGTTTCCGCAGTATATTTATTGGGCGAACATTTGGACCCCAGTGGAACGGGTCAACTGGGCGAGCAGTCCCGAGGCCAGAGTCCGAATGTTGCATGCCCTGTTCGACGAGGGTACTCTTGATCTCTGTGCAGGAAAGGAGACGGGTGGCGCACGACAGCGTGTTGAAGTTGGCGCAGAACGTACACGTCAAGGCTCGCGCGGCCGAATTTGACTGAGCACACATTCGGGCCATGCATCGCAGACTTGCGACTCTGGCACATCTTGACCTGGTGGCAGGCCGAGTGGCAGCGAAGAACGGCTCTTGGGTTTTTTGAAGCAGCGGCCCCAACTGTCAGCTCAGTTGTGTTCAATTCGTTCGCTCGTTGCAGCTCTCGCTTGGCAGGCCGTGGGCGAGTTGTTGTGTTGCACAACATCATCCTCGGTGGACACGGACGAGCTGAGGCTCTGAGAGCAGGGGACCTGGCTAAGTTGCTTTCCCCGACAGCCAGGAAGTCCTGCTGGTTTTGCTCAGGACATCTGGGGCCCTTCATGGCGAACAGAGCCTGAGCCTTAGCCGCATGGCCCGAGAGTCAACCAACTTGTCATTCGTAAGGTTAAACTGCAACACCGGACGTGCAATATCCACGCCAGGTCAGCCTAGAACCCACGGCGTTCGCTGCACTTCGCTGTGTGCATCCGCCAGTGGCTGCACCTGCTGGAGCCCGCTGACACTCCTTGCGGCGGTAAGTATTTCCTCCCTTGGTGGAGGCTCGCCCTGACGCATTTTTCGACGGCCCTCTTGGGATAAAGGCGAGCCCAACCTGGGTTGGCTGAGATTTGCAGTCAGTGCGGGTGGCGTTGGAAGGAAGGTGATCTTATTTGGTGGCCCGGAGCGAGATTTGGCAAGACACGACCCAGCAGATGGATGAGGATGGAGATGAGGAGCATCAAAGATGAACAAATTAAGTCGGCTGCCGCGCGGAGGGGAAAGTGGGCTGGAGTGGAGGCCTGTGGCAGTGCATGTTTCCAGGCCTGTTGATTGCGAGATTGGAGTTCCCAAGCAGCCTGCGAAGACCGCGGAGCTGCTGCTGAGCCTCGTAGCCCCAAAGCATAAGACGGCAGCTCGAACTACTATCGTACTGCACTTTTGACCCAAGGAAATTGCGAGTCGTCTGTATCCTTGTGGTGTCGATGTGCCTGTGTGGGCCATGCTATGCCGGGCCACCACCATTTCTTCTGTGCCGAATGGCGCCGTTTGCGCAAGGTCCGCGTCCAGAGTTTTGCGCTGACCCAGTCCCGAACCGGCCCGATTGTTTCTTGGTGGCAGGTTGTGGTCATCGAGGACGAGGCATGGACTCTTGTCTGACTGTGTCTTCGATTCAAGGAGCTCTCACCAGTCATCTCTTGCAGCTTCACGTGCCACAGTCGAACGATGCAGCAAGGGATCTCGTCTGCCAGGTGCTCTTCGATCTCGTGGCCGGGGCACGAAGCCCGGAGGAGGTGCTGCTGGACTTCAGTGGCGGCCCTCGGCTGTTGGCAAGTTTGCGCAGCCGTGAGCATCTCGAGCGATTTGATTGTCAAATGCGGCTTTCCAAGTCTCCGAGGCACCGAGTTCACCAAGCAGCCGGCACCTTAGGAGTTTCCTTCTCGGCTGGATTTTTGATGCGTTCTGCGTTTGGGGAAGCTTGGGTTCTGTTCTCCTGCCGGACGTGATCTTCAACTGCCAGGAACAGCTTGCAGGGTTGGAGGGTGGAGGTCGACGAGGACATTTTGGCTTTCTAGCCGTGTGGCTTGACCCTTTTTCTGTGGCGCTTCAGCCCGTTGACCCATCTTGTGGCCGCAGCCCAGTCCGGCAAGGACCTCTTCAACCACATCAACGAGCTCGACGAAGCCGATCGCCGGGGTGCCCAGTGCCGGCAAGTGAAGAAGGGATGGAGCCAAGCTCACAGCACCAGGTGCAGATGGCTCCGCTAGTGGGTTGCCACGCGGAAGGAGCCGAGGGGCACAAGTCAGGTTTGTGTCACGCCTCACTGTGAGTGCTTCGTGCCTGCTGCTGTCGAAGGAGCACGTTATCCCGGGAAGCTACGAAGAACCTGGGTCGAGGAGGGGTGCCGGCGGAGCCGCGAAGACCTCTGAGACTTGAGTTCTGTGGAACGAGGTCGGTCCGCCTCGCCGCGGTCGGGCTCCCCGCTGCCTTCCTCAGTGGCGGAATTTCGCAGGATCGTCACGCAGTCGAAAAAGCTTTCCCATGGTGCCTTCTGAGGCTGCCCCGTGGTGCATCCCGGCGCCTGCAAGCTTGCAGGCTCGCCTGCAGTGCCACATCTTAGCAGCTATAAGCACCTCCTAAGCATTTGTTTGGCCTTTCCGGGAGCTTTCGCGGAATTCCTTGCGCGAGGGCATTGTCTCCGAGCCGTGCGCCGGGTGCCCGGAGACAGCATGAGACAGCGTGATTGAATTGGGCTTCCAGGGGAGAGGAGTCCTTTTGCCTTTTACTTCAGCTTCTCTGGCACCCTTGGCGTCGCCCTAATGCTTGACGAACCGAACACTCCATCTTCGACCAGGGCCCGGCATGGTTCCTGAATGGGAGCAAACCGCAGTCATCTTCAGCGTGCTTCCTGCACAACGCCGGTCCCATGTGACAGTGCCTCGCAAGCCTGTGGAGTTGCACTGCCCGGCACTGCAGGGCCGCCACTCGCACACCGACACCCGCCCAACGGTCGCCGTTGCAGCGTGTGGCGACATCGACCACGAATCTGGCAAAGACCCCAGACGCGTCATAATTTTAATTGCCCTTCGGGCGCCCTGAGGTCTTGATTTAGAAAGGCACTGTCGTGCAGCAGAGAGGCGGTGGTCCTCGATCGTTGTGCTCGCAGTGGTCCCACATGTGTTTCTGAGAAGCTGGAGGTACCGTGAAGTTGCCGTCAGCCTTCTTTGGACCGTATTTCTGTTTGAGTGCATGCCATGCTCTATTCAAGTTGGGCCTTCTCGTTTTGTACACCCGCATGTGCCGTGGATGCGGGCTTTCCTTCTGAGCTTCGAGGTCATCGGCGCAGCTGCGACGACTGGCAGTGGGCCATCGAGGCGGTGGCGGCTCGGAGATCCAGTTCACTCTGTGGAAGCTTGCCGGGAGGCCTATGCTCTTCATCAACGAGCAGTCTTGGCCTCAGGCTGATGAGCGGGCATCCAAAGCACAAGGAATGAGAGAGAGAGAGAGAGATAGAGATATATATATATATATCGAGCTCTGACAAAAGTGCCGACTTGTACATTGTGGTAGTATTGAGGCTTTGCAGAATCAACTAGCACAAAAGTATAAACTACGAAAAGTATAGTATATAGCATAGCAGGGAACAGCACAGCATAATCTAGCACAATATATCACGCCATGCAAGACCAGACCAGACTGGACTTTCTATACTTGTATTGCATTTTCTTTGTTATAACAAATTATCTTATGGCGTGAAATGATGGTCTGTATATATATATATATATCAATAGGAACATTGCCCTGTAGAAGTTCTTTGCTATGACAGTATAGATTATAGGGTGGGAGAGAACAGAGGCACCCGCTTGCACACCTTCCAGATCCCCTCGGCCGGCGTCTCGGGTATCAGAGATCTTTAAAGCCACAGACGATGCTTCCCCACATGTGCACCTGTGGCTGCGCCACTGCAAGCTCATGCAACATAGACCTTTGGCTGCACATTAATAATCGTCTGGCCATGTGTCGCCTTTCTTGGCAAATCTTGAGGTCGCGACGACTTCGTTGTCGAACTTCGAAGGTGAGGGGGTGAACTTCATGAGATGGTGCTGACTACGTACATGAGGGTTGTGAAGATGCCCGGAAACTCTGAGTAGACATGCGAGCTCGCCTTTGTACGGCTTGGCATCTCTAGGGCCAACTTGCCACTTTCACTAAACCAGCAGAACCGAGATAAGGTATCAAGCTGTGACGAGTGCTGTTGCGCCTGTCGGTTTGCAGTCTTGTGTAAGGCGGCTGCGTGTCCCTCGGCTGTTTGGCAAAGAGGCCCGCGAGCACGGCGAGCGTGCAGGAGGCGAGGGAAGTGGGACCGAAGTTCTGAGAGCCGATCACTCGTTGCAATCCCTCGAAGGCGCCGGCTTGGGCCAGGTCCCGTCCTGAGTCTAGGTTCACATGTGAGCTGGCGATCGCGTGGAAAGTATTGGGGGCAACTGCCGCTCCTTGCGCAGGGCGAGCCGATGTTGACGGTGGAGGACAGATTGGTTCCCTGAGCAAAGCTTATGCGGCATCGACCTTCGTTCCTAAACATGTTCGAGGAGTGCGAGGATCTCTTCGATATCTTGCTCCAGATGCCGTGTGCTTGGACTTGGACCCATAAATCAAAGCAGCCCTTACGCCTTGCGACAATGGTGATTTTTGCAGTAAGGATTCACCATGTGGGAGAACAAAGACCATGGCAATAAGCAACATCCAGAACGACACCTGTAGTAGCAAGGGCGGATATACAATGTTGATTGGAATGGCAGCGCATCCCGAGTGGCTCATATTGCACATTTATGGCGCATGTGGGAGCCAACACCACCAGCCATGAACATCTTGACTGATGTTGGTAATGCAACCATTTATCATCGCCTGCGCTGTCAGAAGCAGCTTGGAAGCGTAGTGCGCCCTAAGCCTGAAGTCCTTCAAGAGTTATGTCAAGCGCGCCAAGCTCACGCTAAGGCAGAGGATGGCCGGCACAGCCCACAGCAATCCCGGGAACTTGTCGTTCGGATAGCCGAGCCGGCCGGCTTTGGGGTCATGATGGGTCATGGATAGTGCTCAAGTCACGATGAGGCCGATGACTGTGAGGATTAACCTGAGGATGACCATGGTGATGACGATAAAGATGATGATGATGATGATGATGATGATTCTCATCAGCTGTGAAGATGCCAATGATTCTGCAGTGGGGTTAGCGGCCGCAGTGTTGGTGAAGGAGCCGTGGCGGTGATTTTGCGCATTTGGGCCCGGGCCGGGCCCGTTTCTGTCTTGACGTATTATTATCAGCTTTGATACCACGATGAGTAGTATTATGAGTGTGATCATTATGATGATTCTTAGCATTATTCTTCATATTTTTGTTAGTACGAATGAACCACTATTATTATTATTACAGATATTCTATTTACTAATAGTTTTCTTGATTACTTGCACTATTGTTTTTTTTGCTCGTTCTTATTGTCATCATTCGTCACGCAGACTTGAAATTGGGGCCGGGGACAATTCAGCTCATTCTCTGCCCGGTCTGCGGGTTTGTAGCAAGCACGACCGTGCTGCGAAGGGACAACACAACACGATGCGTCTTCGTCGATCTCGTTGAGATTTCACGTGTGCTTTGGGACGCTTGACACAGTGAGTTCAACACTGAAAGGATTTCGGGCCCAAAACTTGCTTCTTGAGCATCTTATGGCTGCTCCTTGCTCACCCCAACGCACGTTTCTCTCCAAACCGAGGCAGCCGGGCCGCCGGGGTCAAACAAAGAGGATAAGGGGGGGGGGGGGCGNNGGGGGGGGGAAGGGATCCGAGCAAACAAACGAGGCGTCAGAAAAACGATGGGGCGAGGGCCCACAGGGCGAGGGTCGGCCAGTGATCGACATGACGTTAGAGAAAGAAGAACGACACCCGCTTGTGTGAATCCTGATAGTGCGTTGAAGTGGTCACCAGGCGTAAGATGTGTTACGACAATTCGCACTGGTAGCGCTAGCCACAGCAGCCGAATAGAACCAACATCCTGCTTGGTCCCGGGAGGCAATGTCAATTCTCAGTGAGTTTTAAGACAGTGGCACCGCAGCTTGGTTGAGAATCAGGAAACCGAGGTCAAAGCACTTCATACCATAGAGCCGATATGACCGTCATGATGGTTCAGGTATAAGTACAGTAGTCTTGTTTGCAGCTACTGCTTTCGATTCGGTGCTTACTCTTGCTACTCTGACTTCCTGCCAGCTCCATGGATGCCACTGTGGAATCTTTTCTGGGGCTGTGCTCGCTGGCGTCTCAGGTGGCGGGAAGACTGGCAAAGGGTCACGTATAGGAAGTATCTGATTATCTTGATGGTTCACCCACTAATGTTGTTCACCCGCGGTCCTTCTGTTGCAGTTGCTTGTCGCATGGTTTCTG